GCTTAATAATGCATTCGAAATTGAAAAATTGCGTTCAGAACGTGAACTCATAGGTACATAATCAAAGCTAATTGATACAATCGAGGGAATTCTAATTTCTGTTCAGCCCAAAAATCTAAAATTTCCTGTTGTTGAGGATCATATATAAGTCCAAACTGGACTTTTTTTTATTATTTGCACCAAACAAAGGCTGTACAGTTTGTATGATCTCTGCCATTTTTATGTCCCGTATGTAAAATTACCGTTATAAAGTACAGTTAACTACCCCTTTAACTTACAACAATATAACGACTAAACTTGCTTATCTTTGAAAAACTACCGTTTTAAAATTACAGTTAACTACCCCTTTAACTTACAACAATATAAGTTAAACGGGTAGTCAAAAAACAACAGAGGAACGAATCCGTTCAATGTTCTTGCTTTAATTCTCAATTCGAGACTGTCGAAACTATTTCATTTGTTTTGAATTTTATACAGGGTACATTGTTGAGATTTATCAAAATTTTTCAGGTCATTGAAAAAAATCAAACATGAATCTCAGTTAAAAAACTTGTTATTGGTGTTATTAGTTATTTCAAACAATCTTTAATTAAACTTTTTTGAGATTCGTCTTCAAATGTTCTTTTGAATAATTTTTTACTCAATTCGGGTTCCTTTAAAATCAAATTTTCTTTAAACTGGCTAAAGCGATCATCAAAAAATCAATATGACTAAAGTGGGCTAAAGTGAAAATAAAAAAATTCAACTTGGCTAAGGTGGGCTAAAGCCATTTAAAAAAAATAGATTTGGCTTTTGGTTCGCTAAGCTAGTTAAAAAAAATGAAGTTGGCTAAAGTCGACTAAAGCGAGCTAATTTTAAAATGATTCGGCTAGAGTCGGCTAAAGCGAGTTTTAAATAAAATAGTCGACTAAATACGACTAAAGCAAAGAGGAAAAAAATCTTGTTGGCTACATGTCTGCTAAAGCTGACCTGAATTTTAGTGAAGCGAAGTAGCTTCGCTTCGCCGACTTCGACCTCTGTGAAAAACTACCGTTTTAAAATTACAGTTAACTACCCCTTTAACTTACAACAATATAAGTTAAACGGGTAGTCAAAAAACAACAGAGGAACGAATCCGTTCAATGTTCTTGCTTTAATTCTCAATTCGAGACTGTCGAAACTATTTCATTTGTTTTGAATTTTATACAGGGTACATTGTTGAGATTTATCAAAATTTTTCAGGTCATTGAAAAAAATCAAACATGAATCTCAGTTAAAAAACTTGTTATTGGTGTTATTAGTTATTTCAAACAATCTTTAATTAAACTTTTTTGAGATTCGTCTTCAAATGTTCTTTTGAATAATTTTTTACTCAATTCGGGTTCCTTTAAAATCAAATTTTCTTTAAACTGGCTAAAGCGATCATCAAAAAATCAATATGACTAAAGTGGGCTAAAGTGAAAATAAAAAAATTCAACTTGGCTAAGGTGGGCTAAAGCCATTTAAAAAAAATAGATTTGGCTTTTGGTTCGCTAAGCTAGTTAAAAAAAATGAAGTTGGCTAAAGTCGACTAAAGCGAGCTAATTTTAAAATGATTCGGCTAGAGTCGGCTAAAGCGAGTTTTAAATAAAATAGTCGACTAAATACGACTAAAGCAAAGAGGAAAAAAATCTTGTTGGCTACATGTCTGCTAAAGCTGACCTGAATTTTAGTGAAGCGAAGTAGCTTCGCTTCGCCGACTTCGACCTCTGCTATTTTCAAAAAAAATATCGATTTTAAATCTTTATTAACATTTTTTATCATTTATAATACCTAGATATGTTTTGAAATGCAATTTAAAGCATTTTTGGTTTTGATCATAGTAAGCTTTTTTCAAAAAAATATCGATTTTAAATCTATATTAGCATTTCTTATCATTTATAATACCTAGATATGTTTTGAAATGCAATTTAAAGCAATTTTGGTTTTGATCATAGTAAGCTTTTTTCAAAAAAATATCGATTTTAAATCTATATTAGCATTTTTTATCATTTATAATACCTAGATATGTTTTGAAATGCAATTTAAAGCATTTTTGGTTTTGATCATAGTAGGCTATTTTCAAAAAAATATCGATTTTAAATCTATATTAGCATTTTTTATCATTTATAATACCTAGATATGTTTTGAAATGCAATTTAAAGCAATTTTGGTTTTGATCATAGTAAGCTTTTTTCAAAAAAATATCGATTTTAAATCTACATTAGCATTTTTTATCATTTATAATACATAGATATGTTTTGAAATGCAATTTAAAGCATTTTTGGTTTTGATCATAGTAGGCTATTTTCAAAAAAATATCGATTTTAAATCTATATTAGCATTTTTTATCATTTATAATACCTAGATATGTTTTGAAATGCAATTTAAAGCATTTTTGGTTTTGATCATAGTAGGCTATTTTCAAAAAAATATCGATTTTAAATCTATATTAGCATTTTTTATCATTTATAATACCTAGATATGCTTTGAAATGCAATTTAAAGCAATTTTGGTTTTGATCATAGTAAGCTATTTTCAAAAAAATATCGATTTTAAATCTATATTAGCATTTTTTATCATTTATAATACCTAGATATGTTTTGAAATGCAATTTAAAGCATTTTTGGTTTTGATCATAGAAGGCTATTTTCAAAAAAAAATATCGATTTTATATCTATATTAGCATTTTTTATCATTTATAATACCTAGATATGTTTTGAAATGCAATTTAAAGCAATTTTGGTTTTGATCATAGTAGGCTATTTTCAAAAAATATTGATTTTATGTCTATATTAGCATTTTTTTTTCATTTATAATACCTAGATATGTTTTGAAATGCAATTTAAAGCATTTTTGGTTTTGATCATAGTAGGCTATTTTCAAAAAAATATCGATTTTAAATCTATATTAGCATTTTTATTATTTATAATACCTAGATATGTTTTGAAATGCAATTTAAAGCAATTTTGGTTTTGATCATAGTAAGCTATTTTCAAAAAAATATCGATTTTAAACCTATATTAGCATTTTTTATCATTTATAATACCTAGATATGTTTTGAAATGCAATTTAAAGCATTTTTGGTTTTGATCGTAGTAGGCTATTTTCAAAAAATATTGATTTTATGTCTATTTTAGCATTTTTAGCTTCCGGGTGGAACACGGAAGGTGTTTCTTTATGTCGTTCAAATTTTGTCACCCTTCCTACAGGTCCACCGTATTATCCAAAAGTAATGATTTATATGTCAAAATTTAGCCCTTGTTGTCTAGTAGGGCGGAAATTAAAACGCTATGCGTGAATCGTCTTAGTTCTCAAGATAAAGTGAAAATAGTGTTTAATCTGGTGGATTATAAATAAATCCAATTGATTAAAAATTAAATGTGTTATCTTAAATTAAAAGTAATTAAAAGGAGAATAATCGACCATTAAAAGAACTTCATTTTATTTGGTTTTGAGTGGGTTTAAGAAATATTTATGTAAATCTTGATTAATTTTAAACCGGATTTTTGGGTCTAATTTTAATTATTGTGCTTTATTGGCACACAATGTTCCTAAAATGTCAAAAATGCATTCAAATAGCTAAAACCACTTATGATTGAAAGAAAAAAAATGATATAATTTTTTGTTGATAGTAGCTGGTCTTAATCCAGTAACACGGATTAACTAGTGCTTGATCTCCATCATTAGTCCTGACTTATTAATTGTATTGAAATTATTTGGAATATTTACACCGTATTTACGTTGGTTCACGTTCTTTTGCAATTCTATTGGTTTTGTTCAGATTGAAAAATCAGTTTTCGCATTTTTCAGAAAACGAAGCAAAACTGGTTATAAAAGGTTCCAGAAGAAAAGTTTGTGTTTAAAAATTCACATCTTCTGCAAAAAATAAGATTTGAATTTGGCATTGCTTAGAAAATCACAAAATACGCTTTCTGTAAGCAAGCAAACAAGCATGCAAGTTAATCAGCAAGAAATCTCAATAACGAGACATTGTAAAGACTTCTGGTTTTCTACATTTGATCCATGCTGCTCTATAGAAGAGCTGTATTGTTTTTGGTTAAGGTAAAAATAGCCGTTGCTTCAGAAAAAGCAAAAAATTTCCTTTTTTACGAATTTTTCAAAACAAAAGTTCTCTGTGATTTTTATAAAATTCAACTTTTGATGAAATTTTTTTTTAAAAAACTTTTAAAGAATGTTCGTTAAGCTTTAAACCTTCAAACATATACTCAGCAAAGCTCAGCTGACTCGCTGGTTTTATACTTTCAAACTTGTCAAGCTTTATACCTTCAAACTTATGCTAAGCAAATCTTGGTCTATCCATAAGACTTTTGATGGTACGGTGTGAATATATCCACATTGGGTTTACCCGATACACTAATTTTCGTTTTGTGATATATATAAAAGAACTGTAATCTAACATAAGTCAAATGCGGAAGCTAGTGACTTTCTACGTAAGTCGTGTTTTTTAGTATTTGCGACTGACTTCAATTCTGATTCGAGGAATATTGGCTACATGTCTTTCATTTTAAACCCACCATTTGTTGTTTGATTTAAGAAGGAGCGTATCGCTGAGGAATTCGACCAAAAATTGATCATTAACCAGGGACTCAGAAGTTGTAAATTGAATTGGATTATTTTTGATTTCAAATTGTTTGAGTTTCAACTTTTATGACTCGAAACTTTCTTGATTTTGGAAATTTGTATTTTTCGTATTTCGAGTTTTGGAATTCAAATTTTGTGTTTCAATTTTTTGAATTCGAATTTTTCGTGTTTCAATTTTGGAATTCGAAATCTTGAATTTCAACTCTGCTATTTAATACTCATCGTACTCAATCGTATTATTTACTACATGAATGAATAAAACGTGAATGAATGAATGAGTCATGAAAATTTCTTCTTTTGCAAGTTACATTCTACACATTCACAAAAGCATACGGCTATCGATAAAAATACAAATGATTTTTTTTGCTCAGCCATTGATTCATTTTTCAATATTTCTCAGTTTATTTTGTTCTCTTGAATTACTCGCACGTCAACATCCAATTATTTTCAAGCCCTTACAATATTTTTTTGGTTTTTGATAATGTGTGACTTATATTATACGCCAGGTAACACTCAAATTGACATGCGATAAGATAAAGTTCTGCATTAATTACAATTTTTTTTATTCTAATACAAATGTCAGCATCGTCACCATGCCGTGTAGTACAAATGGTTGCGGCTGCTTTGAAAATTAAACTTCGTTTAAAGCCACTTAATTTACACAGCAAAGAACAATTACTTCCAGAATTTTTAAAAATTAATCCACAACACACCGTGCCTACCTTAGTCGATAATAATTTTGCATTATGGGAATCACGTTCAATTTGCATCTATTTGGTCGAAAAGTATGCAAAAGATGACTCATTATATCCAAAGAATCCAAAACAGAGAGCTTTAGTGAATCAGAGACTTTATTTTGACATGGGAATGCTTACAAAACGAATGTATGACTTCTTCTTTCCTCAACTAATACAAAACACGCAACCTGATCCGCAGAAATTTAAGGAAATGGAAGAGGCTGTTGAACTTCTTGACATCTTCTTAGAAAATTCTGCATACGCAGCTGGCGAGAGACTGACAATAGCTGATTTTGCATTGGCTGTTACTGTTAGTGTCTGTGAATTGACTGGCTATGATCTGAATAAATATGTAAACATATCAAGGTGGTATGAGTCGATGAAGTTGGAGCTTCCAGGATGGAATATCAATGAAGAAGGATTGAATGTGTTGAGGCAGTATATAAAGAAATAAATAGTCATATAAACGTGTTAAAATAAATGTGATTTATAAGCATTTGGGCTTACTTTATATAAATGTGAACTGAACAGCTTGCCGGCATTGATGTAGCAAGGAAGAGTAGTCAGAAGTCTGTTTCTTTAGCTGCTCAGGGTTTTCTATTTAAGTTGAAGTCAATTCTTTTTCATATCTCAGAGCGTAGTCCATAGATATTTGATGTAAGGAAGCTCTGGAAATCATCTACTTTGCCTTTGTTTGATCTCGTCCAAGGCAACAAAAACTGTTGCTATTGCCAGTAGGTCTTTGATAATTAAAGTGAATTATTTTTATGTTGTGAAAATTTAAATTTATGTCTATTAATAAGTTATAATAACTTCTATGATCATCATTGTCTTTTCCTGTAAGGAAATTAGTCAAATTTTATTAGTCTTCAAACAAAACTTATTAAAACAGAAATTTTGATAAACCTATAGCAGTGTTGCAAATGTAGATGTCTACACTAGATGAAGAATGTAGATTCTTCAATAGTTTTTGTCTGAGACAGAAATTTCTTCATAAAGATCGATTCTATATGAAGATAGAAAATCTAATCTACACAAAGATTATTTCTACATAAAGATTCTGTCTACATAGAGATTCGATGTAGATGTCTACAATTCTACATTTTTTCCAGGTCTACATCAGAGAAGAATTAGTCATCATCACAGAAATCATCTTTCCTTGGTCCATCGATTTCTACTTTGATTTACTCAATAGTGGCGAAAGAGTTTCTCCTTTTTGTGTCATTTCGAATACCATTGACAACTCCTGAAAATTCATCAAATGAGTTTATTGCACAAAGCAGTACAAAGTGCTGTTCTGTTCATTGATAGGTTCTTGTTTGGAGTTATATTGACATCAGAAGATGCATTTTTAATTGTTAAAATGCTTCAAATTAAGCTTGGAACTGTTGGATTTAAAATCATAAGAATTCGTGCTTATAAGCTGAATAAGGTTGACATCACTTTGAATCATAAAATCATCCAGATAAGGAAGAAGCTCGAACATCAACTGATTGATATCATCCGTGAGTGCCAAGAATACAAAGAATATTTGAATTTTGATGAATTCATTATCAGTTCCCTTATGTATATTATATGCTTATCCATAATGATATACTGTCGGTATCTTAGCCTTTGTGGTCTCATTTGTCTAAATACTAATCTTGTCCCTTTTGGAAAGCATCGCGGCACTCAAAAATGACATGCTTTAAAACCAACTCTGTTCATTTCCATGGTATGAACTTTCAGTCCCAAATAAGAATTTATAATTACAATCCATACATATTTGTCAGAATTTGGCTATGCTAAAGATTCTTATAATCGAGAATCTTCGAATGGAACTTCTCGCCAGGATATTGTACAGTGCAACTAAGAAATTAAGAAAGACACACTGAAGATTCATATTTGTTGACATTTAAAACTCAATCATAAACTCTTTAACAATTTATTAGACACTTCTGCCGCTCACAGAAATCAACCTTAAATGTTTACAAACACAAAAAATAATAATTTCAAGTCACTCAATCAAAGCACAAAGTCATTAATCTTATCTAATCAAATAGTCAACAAATTATAAATCGTAGCAAATTTTTGTGCTGAAATGTTTTGATAATGCAGCCGCTTTTAAATTGACACTCCATCCAGGACATGTTTTCTTCATCAAACCATACCATCGATGGATATTTGGATGTTTAGATAATTTATAGCCACTTAATTCACATGCATGGATTGTTGCTACAACTGCTATATCTGCAACTGTCATTGTTTCTGTATTTGCAACGTATTTGTGGTCTGTTAAGAATATTTCAAGGATATTCATAGCTTCTAGGAAGAGTTTGAGCTTGTCTTTGTCTGCTGGATATTTTTGTAGAATTTGTGGATAGTAAAATTCAGCGAATTGCTTAAAAAGTGTTCCAGCGTCAAAATATAGTCTACAATTAACAGTTGCTCTTTTCTGCGGATCTTTTGGATATAAATGATCATCCTTAGCATATTTCTCAACTAAATAGATGCAAATTGACCGCGATTCAAATAGTGTCAAGTCACCATCAACAAGAACTGGAACTGTGCGGTGTGGATTAAGTTTTTGAAACTTTGGTGTCAGATGTTCCTTTCTGTATGGATCAACGTTGATTAGATTTAGTTTAATTCCGAGTGCAGCTGCTGTCATTTGAACAATGCGACATGGTGCTGAAACTGAAGTTGGAATTTGATTAGTTTACAGATGGATCATTTGAATATAAAGACAAAAAGGATCTTATTGCGACAGAATTGGATATAACGGCATCAGAAGGACGATTTCTCTGGTGAACCCTATCCATATACTCTTGTATTGTTAGAATTAATACAAAAATTTTGAAACTAGCTCCTGAATTAACCTTTACCTTTAGATATCACGGAACAACAGGGTTTTACCATTGCTGACTAATAATACACTCTTATCAACAACATTAAAAGATACACAGTAGTCAGTAACATCTCCAAACACATAATCCAATTAAAAACATAAGATTACAAGTCAATTGACTCATACTTATCAAACCGTGCATCTAAACAGATAAAACTCACGTGGCATAAAGTATAAATCACCCATTGCTTAATTGTATTTTGTCTCTACAGCAAATCAACAACGTTCGGATCCTTTGACTGAAATTTAAAGACTAAGTTCTCAATTTTCATATAATCAACAAATGTATTGACTGTAAATTAGTATGCGAAATTGCCGTTTTTCTTATCAAAAATAATGCATTAATGACTTCATATCAAATTTCATACTTCTTAATTGTTGATAAATTAGATTAAATACAATCGCAAAGTGTATGTATAGTCATTGAGAGTGGGAACTTAGTTGGAAACAATAAATTTTGTATTAAGTATATCTATAAATTTGGTTGAATCCAGTTTATGATTAATTGAACAAGAAAAATGATTGATATTGTATAAGTTACAGGTCTGGGTATTTAGATTTTGTAAAGATAGATGCTTCAAAGTTAATTATTGAGAATTCGAAAGTACTGGACTAAAAAGAAACTCTTTAATCGACGCAACTAAGACTAATTAGACGTTTTCTGTAATATTCAATGTACTGGGGGTCCTCGATTTGAGTAGATTCTATTTGAGTAGATTCGATTTGAACAGAAAAATTTTTACCCACCAAAATATTCGATTTGAGTAGATTTCTTCCTGTTTTCTTCGATTTGAACTGTTTACAAAACAAATATTTTTGATAAAAACATTTCAGAAAATATTTTTAAAACATAAATTTTACTGCAATAAGCGTGAACTTATCATATTGATAGAAAAATCAATACCAAAGTTACAAAATTAAAGTAAAAATTTAAAAAATCGCTATAAAATTAAAAGTTCAAATTCAAAAACCTTACAAATTGTTCAATGAATTAACATTTGCAAGGTTCTCATATTTTTGTTTTGTTTCAAAAACATATTTTTTGTGAATTTCTGTGTAAAAACAATATGAATATGCCTTGAAATAAATTAAGTTATCTAAAACACATAGGAAAAGTTAAGCATCGAGGTAAAATGTGCAAAAAATGATCAAAATTTTCATTGTTTTGATATATTTTTTGGACTCTGGAACAAAACATGTAATTTTGTATTGATTCTTTGCCTCGATTTGAATAGATTCGATTTGAGTAGAAATTTTTTGGAACAAAACAACTACTCAAATCGAGGACCCCCAGTATATCTTATCAATTGAGTTACGTTATTGTTTACAATCTTAACTAGACTGCATCAAGTTACAATAAATAATGTTACTGCTTTAAAGAGTCGTTCTTTTAATACTTTTTATAAACCCTAGGTTTCGTTAATTATCAAAAGTGTAGCGATAAAGTATCCTTAGAAGTCGAGACTTGTCAAATTTGAAACTTAATGATTTGTTTGAAAAAAGCATTACCATTAAATATATCCTTATGTTTTTATCAATTGTGTAGGCATTGACTTGTTATAAGATTAAGTCACCCTCTTTATCAGGCGCCTAGCCAGGAGGGGGATTTTGGGGACAAATCCTTAGAGAACTTGGTCTTTAAATTTCAGTCAAAGGATCCAAACGTTGTTGATTTGCTGTAGAGACAAAATACAATTAAGCAATGGGTGATTTATACTTTATGCCACGTGAGTTTTATCTGTTTAGATGCACGGTTTGATAAGTATAAGTCAATTGACTTGTAATATTGTGTTTTTAATTGGATTATATGTTTGGAGATGTTATATGTTTTTATGAAAAATCACAAAAATACACCCCCCCCCCCCCCATAAATTTTTCAATACAAAAATTTTTTTTGAACCCCCCCCCCCCCCCTTTTCAAATTTTTGGCTATGAACCTGCTCTCTATAGCAGTGATTCTCAAATCATACATGACAGTGGCATACCAGTGTGAATCAGGAGTGCAGCTAGATTTTTAATGGAGTATAAATTTTTTGTATTGACTATAATGACTTCTTTGGCTTTATTTATATTACTAGATAGGGAGGGAGTAAAATTTCATGATAACGGGAGGAGGAAGAGGGTTCAAAATCTAATAATTTACCATCATTTCCATAAACTATTCAGAAAACCAAAGTTTTCCTCAATCATATCGAGTTTTACCAAAGTTGCGAACTTTCAATAACTTTCACCAACTATTAAAATTAACCGATTATAGATAATTTAAAACTACCTAAAACCGATACAGAGAACCATATTTCACATCGGTTGGAAATCCCTTCAAATGACCAATAAAAGCAAATCAACAGGTAAAAAAATTGAATGAAACATAATAAGCACGCATCACCTGCCTGACAACCGAATCTCATAAACAAAACAAGTCAGTATATATAAACAAGGATTGTTGCTAAAGAAACTCATAATTATTATTATTTAATCATACTCTGCATCGGTTTTGAAGATTTATTTTTCTTTTTTAAAATTATTAAGTTTTATAATGTATGAGGATATATTTGCGAATTTTGACAATAGTGATTGGATAGCAAGTGAAGAAGTTATCAAAATTGATAAGGCATTAGAGGAATCGAAGAAAATTCAAAGTAGTTTGGAATCATCAATTTATCAAGTTGAAAAATTAAAATCAAAATACGAAACAGCATCAAATAGTTATTCCTACAACTTTTCACTATCAAATCGTGCTTCACATCACTGTTTTAAAGCTGAATATTTAATTTTTAGCATTTATGATGTTCATCTATCAAAATTGTGCCAGAAACTTGATTTATATTCACCGCAAAAACAGCACTTTCATAGTCCACAGAATCGACGACATAGCAGAGTTCAGAAGATAAATTATACACCTTCGAGCTGTTCATCATCGCCATCAACATCATCAACAGAGCTTATCAATCAATTGGAACTGGAAGAAGCTAGTTTTGATTCAAAATTCATTGGAAATGGAGAAAAATCCTTCATTTACAGCAACCGTTATGAGACAAAGTCTGGCTTGCGAACACATAAACAATTAATCAGATCCTATAATCGTGCAAAGACGGAACGAATTAAATGTAAGAGAGAAATTGAAGCTGCATTGACATCACTAGATAAGGCAATAACTTTAAGTACTAATCGAGCAATGGAGGCTAAGAATTATGGATGGATTAAGACAAGGATGAGAACGCCTATGAAAAGTTTATCAGCAAGAAGATCGATATCGTCATCGATGTGTAGAGTTAAGCCATTAACACCAGTTCAAGTGAAAAGACCTCTTTCTACATCTGTTATTTTTTAATTGACAAACTTTTTGGATGCATTAATATTATTTTTAGTTGATACTCAGAATTCCTTAATAAATATGTTGCTAATTTTATGGATATATTTTAATAAAGTATTTTAAAAATGTTTTTAATTTATTTTTTGGGGCTGAATTCTTTTTTATTTGCTACAAAGACTTTGCTTGAATGCTTCTCGTGAAAAATAATGTAACATATAACTTTTTCAGGTACTTTTTAATAACGTTTTATCTATTTGCTAATTATAGTGCATTAAGTTCATCAGAACCACCCCCAAACATGCAACATAAATTAACGGAACAATTAAATTCAAAAATAGTGTCTTGACTAAGTTTGTACAACCTGAAGTTGACTGCAAAAAATACTAATGTGCTTTTTTCTCGCTCGCTGCTTAACTTAATTAATTATATTTTATACAGCATATTCAAAACAACATTTTAAATTGATATCCTTAGCTATAGCTCGATTGATGCTTAAATTGACGATAACGATTAACGGTAAAAAATATTTCAAATTTCAGTAACCAACAGCGACAAAAATATTGAAAAATTTAAATGTAAATTAGTTTAAATTAAATTCTGAGTGAAATAAGCAATGTCAGGCAAAAAGAATAGATCGGACCTAAACATAAGTGGATTCTCTCCTATGGTTTGTAAGTAAATCATTGTAAATCCATCTATACAGTCTAAAATTAATAATTTATACTCTTTCAGTGAACCTTCTTAGTCCACAATCAACAAAGAATTCACCAGCCAAGAATCAAGCAGTTATTGAAGCAATTAACGCTAGTGCTAATAAACTTATAGCTGGATATCAACGATGGAAGGTTAATGAACAAAAAGGACTGAATAGCTTGAACATAATTCATAGTTTAAGAGAAAAATCAAAAACATCCAGTGAGCAACAATCGTTTACCGAATTAGAGGTATGCTGTGAGCAATTAAAGGCAATTGAGACTATTTTATTGAGCATAGTAAATGAAGTAGCTGTAATCAAGTCACAAATAGAAACTTCAATAAGTATTCAGAGGACTTTGTCGATATCCAGCGAAGATCCTATACTTCAACAACTCATATCGATTGAAAAGTTCCTCAACAGGCTTAAGCAGCTATATGAAAGTGGTTTATCAATTAAGAAAGAAGTGATCGGTAAGTTAATTTGTCATTTCATGATTCTTATATTTGAATGCTGATTGTTATTAATTAACAGAAAATATAGCACATACTGGGTCGTCTTTAGAATCTCATGAACTCATAGCATCATGGCATTGTCAGTCAATTGCTAATGAAATCAGCAGGCTTATTATGCAGTTAAAGACTAGTCCAGCTGATTGTCGCTGGGAAATTTATAGCTTTTAGTTTGTAATTCGTTCCTTGATATCAGGAATTTGGACATAAATATTATATTTGACATAAAGAGATGAATGATTTTTGGTATTAAGCTTAGAAATTACAGATTTGTTGATTCAATCCTGCAAAAGGGCAAATCCGCGGGCAATAAAACGCTTCAAAATTTTGTTTTTCTCAAATTTCTCTCCTATTTGACTTTTAAAGTAATGTTTTAATACCAAATCATGCGTAATTTTGAAAAATGAACAACTTTTGATCCTTAGCACAAGATTAAAACATTTAATTAAAGAGATATTTTGAATTTAATAGCGTTAATCGATCCTGCGCACGAAAATTTCATTTTGAAAAATCCAAAAAAAATACATGTTTAACGAGTTAGACAATATGGCTTGCAAGTTATTGCATTGGAAATGCAATTTTGTATCATAAATTGACATCATTTCTTAAATATACGTACTCAATTTAAAGTAATTAACAAAAAATAGCGTTAATCGATCCTGCAGAACGTTTTATTGCGAAACTCAAGATAATGCATTGTTGCAAAACACACAATAATATTTAAAATTTTAGAAAACGTTGCAAAATTTTCAGTCCTACAATTCATACATTATCATACATATAACTGTGCTGAACATATATTAAACTTTAATTATAAACTTTTCTGCAATAATTTATTAATAAAAACCATCCAAAATAATTTAAGCAACAGAATAATAACTTTTTATGAAAAAATTTTAACGTATTTTATTTTTTTGAATTCAAACAAGTAGAAAAATATTACAACTCGCTTTTTCCCAGTTCATGCTTTCTGCGGATTTGCCCAAAAGTGAAAAGGTACTTTAGGAAGTTTTTACTAGACCTATCCTAATTTAAATTTAGGTCATTAGCATAGGAGGCACCAAACTTCCAGAGACGCAATTACTACTCGCGAACAAGGCTTCTATACCTTCAACTTACACCTGCTTATCTGACACTGCCCTTCCTCATTGTTGTCACAAAAGCTCACTTATTCCAAACACGAAAATGACATCATTTTAAATAACAGAATCGTGTAGAAAAATTAATTTATCTGTTTAAAGCCTGAAAGCAAATAAAGTTCACCTGCAATAATAATTCCAATGAATAACAAAACAACACTTTCAGAGCTATTGTTACAAAAACTCGTCAAAAACACATTCTTTTTATTTTATAATACAGCTCAAAGTTTCTTAAGTGCTATGAATTCTTATCACAATTAGAATAAATTAAGAAATTGAGTCGATAAAAGTAGACTTAGTTGCTAGGAAAAACTGTTTTTTAGTTTTCATGATACATCTTATTTATAATGATTATCTTATCGGAATTAATGTTATTATTGAGATTTTAATGATTTAAAATTGTTTTTTCATCGATTGCATTTGAAAAATTTCAAAATCAGCATTTCTGATTTTATTTTTTGAGTTTACAAAATGAATTTTAAAATCTAAGTTGTAGCTGCTCGGTAACTGTGTAATACATATATTAAAGCTTGCTCCGGTCCATAGATTAAGAATCAACTTAAAATTTGTTGAAAATCTTCCAGATTCTAGAATTTTTCTCATCCAAACTCTTGATGTGAGTAAAATTTTAAAATGGCGACAAATTTTTAAAAGTAGATTCAATCAAACTTTAATCATCAAAATCTCAAATAAACAACAATCAATTTCGTTTGTAAAGAACCTTTATCGCTTATAGGCACTAGACTAGACTCACAATCCAGTTTAATTTTATCAAATGTTTTGTTAACCATCGAAAATCTATGCAAAAAATAACTAATTATTGATTTACCATCTCATTAAATGAATAACTAGTTCATAATAAACTTTTCACAGTGAAATTGGCTTTCATGACCACAAAAATCTATCCGTTCTTTCTGTTTTCAATCTATTTTTAGCTAGATGCGGCGAGAGAAAACAAAAATTTGCATCATAATGGGATTTTATTATTATTATTTTCTCATTTTCCACAAAAAAACATACATAATCTCGTGGGCATGCAATGAAACAATTAAAATAAATAGAAATAACAGTTTTTGAACATATAAATGAATTAATTTAGTCAGCGTAGCGATTATATTTTTGGCAATAAACATACACAATGCATAATTTCAATTCCATGATGACGATTTAGACTTTTTTTTTATTTACATATCGAAAATTGAGCAATTTTCAATGCAGTCGTTTATGATTTTTGCAAATAAAGGAAGTTTAGTGGTCGCTATTGTGATTTTGGTGTTGATTTAAATGATTAGAACGCAGGTTTTTGTGGTTGTTGGCTTGAATTGAAGGTTAGAGTAGATATTTATGTTTCGCGAAGCTTTAACTCAATTGCTTACTTCATAAACCTAGTTCTGAGCCCTGATTGTACCTTTCGCACCAAAAACCATTGCTACTTCTGTTCAAATCGACTGTCAAGAAACAAATACTAAATTTCACCCAAACCAAAACCAACCAAGTTCAGTTCCACTTCACAGATCGCATAATCCAGCCAGCAAAATTGCAATACTCTCACTAAAACCACACTTTAGTATAATTTTAATGTTTCTCTCTGATTGCCAATAGATATAGAAAGGGAAATTGAACTATGCAATAATAATTTCAAAAATCTATAATGATTTTCGTAGTTCCGCTTTTATTTGAAGCTGTTTAATAAAAACGAACGAGATTTTATTTCTTTTTGCAGAATTTTCTCACGGATGTAATTATTTTATGACTTTATAAAGTTTTACTTCTGCAGTGGAGTAAATGTAGATGTGAAAAATTGAAGGAAGTAAGGAAATTGAGATGCTGAAGGAAGTAAAAAGCTGTTGTTGTTGATTTTTCTTCTGAAAACTTGCATGCATTAATTGAACTCTATGGTTAGAAATTGCTAAGGTGAAATCTGGGATTTTGTAGCTTAATCTAGCAATTAAGAGTGCAAAATGCAACTGGAATCTTAAAATCTTGTTCAAATTTCATTTATTTTAGCTTCATATAACAGAATCTTAACAGATCTTCTTAATACTTCCATTAAACAAACGCATTAGCATTAATAGCTTCTAATGACAAATACAATCAATTTCCAAAAAAATTTGTCCCGTTCAATCTCTTAAGAATCTTTAATAAATAATATCGTAATTATCACCAATTAAAGAGTGGTCGATATCGCACATGGTTTTCATATTCAAGTGACATTCACAAGGTAGCAAAAACAAAATTTTAATTATCACACAATACTGTGTTGGAATGGAAGTTGTCATAAAGTTTTTCGCATTCATTGCTTTCATCACTTCATGTTAGTTGTGATTTTAGTTCTACAAACTTAATTTTGCATAATGAGAATTTTCTCACTTGGCAGTTGATGCTCATTTTCGTGACATTTTCTAACTAGTTATAAGATTGGAAGTTGAAATGAGCTGTGGAAAATGATTGAAAATGGCGCAATTCTTAGTTTAAAGTTGAAGTAGTTCGATGGGGTTTGCTAGAATTGAGCCAAAATGAGTAAACTAGTCTACATTAAATAAAGCTCATTCAAAAGCTTCAACCTAGCCTCTTTCAAAACTGCCACAAACTATTTCACAAAAATAAGCTAAAAAAGATTGAAAATAAAAATAATTATGCAAGTTGAAGACGAAGAAAATTTAATGGAAATGTGCCATTAAAATGAAAATTTCGTTGCCAGCTTTCCTTTTCAGTCTCTTTTTCACCTTTCATTTGTTTATCACAAAATAATTGCTTCAGGGAAATAAAGGTGCTCTTGGCATGTAATGTGTACTTAATTTATTGCCATTGTGTAATTAACAATTTAATTTAATGACGATAATTTTTTTTTCTCTGGATCTTTTTATAACACGAGAGATGTTAGGGAAGTTAATGGCAGTCATGATTATGAGCAATATCACATACATATAATGTGATTTTTATTTTGTGAACAAGTTCATGGAAACACGTGGTCTGATTTATTTTTTGTTTATCACTTTTTGAGCTTTTAATAAATTTATAAGCTTAGGATCTTTAAATCATTGTTTGCTCCGAGCTTAACTTTATAAATCAATTCATAAAACTAGTCATTCGTTTCTAATTGATTGAAATATCCAATTCTGAACTTTCGATATGGAAGATCCACGAAAAAATGGAAACACCAATCCAACGTTAATGATGCAAATTTTTATTTATTAAACATCTTTATGTTTTTACTCTCAAAACATTCACATAAAAGCGTCCTCATAGAGAATCATCATCTCGTCCGTTTATGTATCTTTTGCTGCACGGGAAGACGAGCGAATATTTATCACGATTCAGTCTCGTTCTTCTCTCATTTCAAAAATTTCCTTGCTTTTTTTGCATAGATTTTCCCACTCGAAGGCAACATTTCTTTTTGCTAATTTTATGTAGTAGAGAATTTATGACGAACATAAGAATAAAATTTAAAACTTCGGATGGACTTTCTATTTAATTTTACGAGCTTCACAGTCACTCATTCATTTACACGGATGAGTCAACTTGGCGTTATAGTGTAAGGTGGCGGTTCAGCTTTCTCATTCTCTACCGTGAGTGCACTAGTCGATTTTAATTTATTTATAATATTAATCGGAAAGGACGTTGATGTTGATGACGATGAACTGGGTCTTGTGGCTGTCGATAATTCACTACTTATATTAAAAGCATTATTTGTGGCACCATTAATGGATGGTTGAGCTGGCAGAAAAATATTACTATTTGGTTGTGATAGTTTTAGCAGTGCATTTGGATTTAACTTAATAGCATCATCGTAGCTTGGTGGACTTGACGTCACTTGATCGTAATCTGGAGGTTTCTCGCGTCTCCTCTCGTCTGCAATTGTGATCACATGAATTGGATCATTATTCTGTGAATTAAATAAGAAATAATTATGATTTCATTGCGCTTTAATTAATTTTTTTTTCTGAGTATGTATATGCATTAATTCATTCTATACAGCACATCCTTGTCGAGACAAGCATTCTCATTCACATGTTTTCAATTTATTAAGTCATTAAGGACGAGCTGCTTCTTCTACTTGGCACAATTATCTCTCATTTTTTTTTCTACACCTTATATTCATCTCATCCCCTTTCGCACCTTACAATGGGTTGCTATCTACCGTAATTGTCGGACATTAAAAGCTCTCGTAATGAGACTAAAATGGTGATTTATTTTTTATTTTATTTGTAACTAGAGATGGGATTTTCGTTAAGATTGTTGGGGTGTTTTGTGTAGGTTGATTAATTAGATAGCTGTTTTGAAGGTTTCGTTTGATTATTGAAATAATAAACATTTTATAAAAGTATTGATTGGAAACTTCGAACGTCCTGTTCTAGATTTATTTGACATTAATCCGGTAATATTTTGGAAACCGGTAATTCATCAAAGATGATTCAGTTCTTAAGAGTTTTAAGCCGTTGCCACATATGAATCATTACTCAAAAACTCAACAAACTTCTTGAAAATGTCGCGTTAACTTGACCAATGCCGCAATGTTATGAAATAGTTTAAAAATCTGCAAATGATGTCATATCTAAATGAATGACTTGAAGGTCTTAGAAATGCTCTATTAAAACAACATTCACAACAAGAAACCACAAAAAATAAACACTTTCTGGTCAGAAATACTGCTTATTATTCAGTTTTTTAAAACACGTGGTCAAGAATTATACTTTTCCAGATCTTTCAATTCAATAAGGCACAAAACTACATTAAATCATTTAATTGTTGCTTGCTCCGGGCCAAAATAAAGGAATTTGTTCTGAAATCTTCGTATTTGATTTAATTTAATGGAAAATTTCACCGATAAATTTACGACATGAGAGAATAACCGTTTAAATCCAAAAACCTTGAATTAACTCAGCTTATTCCACGTCTAACAGTTATCAAAAACTATACAATTCATACAAAACCATTCCATATGTAGGATGTTGAACAGAATGAATGAATGCATATGTTGAAAAGGTAGCAGTAACAAGAAGAAGCAAGAGAAAGTAGAAATAGATAGTCATGTAATTACCTCTTCATTCCCATCACTTGTTCTATTTGGTGCTTTCAGCCAACAACACATGGCAGACAGAATTAGTAATGCGCCTCCTGCAAAATGTGTGAGAAAATGTTTAAGTTTTTTTGCTACTGACTTTTCTTTGGGAAAATAATTATTAATTACCTAAAATACAAGCAACTCCAAGATATCTAATTGGTTCTGAATTTGGTGTAGGCTCCGATATGCCCAGCCAATTTATGAGAGCGCCAAGGCATAACAGAATCATTCCATAACCTGTAATGTAAGTTTGCAAAAAATTAAACTTCAATGTAAAAAACAATTATCAAAAAATTAACTTACGGTAAGGCCGCTGCGTTCTTGAATCCTCCATTGTCATAACTATAATGAAACAGAAGAGAAAATAAAAATTAAAATCAGACTTTAGACTACGAAAAATAATGTTAATTAAATGTTTTGTGTCGTCATCATATTTGACACGAGGATCGTGATACGAGCATTATAGAGGCACGAATGCACACTTTTTCGGTGTGTTTCTTAAAAATATCTTCAATAATTAATCGATTATTAGTATTTGCGGAACATATGAGGCAACTTTTGCATCTGTATTTATTATTTTGTCTCTACAAACAAACTTATCGACTGTTTAGCACTTAAGTGTGATATCACGGAAAGTTATTTAAATCGTGATTTGATCTAGTTTATTGTGGATTCAGGTGGAGAGTATTTTTATATCAACCTGAGTTCTTGTGGAATTTTTCTAGAGTTTATAGATTTGATTTATTATTAAGTGGATGCGATGACGAATGAATTTTTTTGTTCTACTTAGTTCCATGCACATAATGTGTATTAGATTCCGATGATACTGATATGAATTTCGTGTGACAAATATGAAAAATGATTGATTTATTTAGATTTATAGGTAAATTACACGCTTGAGTCATTAGAATGTGTTTAGTCGTTAATTGCTCAATTATGAAGGTACTTAAGTGGAGTAATCGAGTGGACTAAATAGAAAAAAATAAATAAGTAATTAGACAGAATTTTTTTCTAGCTCATTAGTTCACTTGGAGACTATATTGTTGTTTAATTAAATAGCTTCTGAGTCCTCTGATTCCTTTGTTAAGTTAATGACCTTTAGTATACAATCTTAGGGACATTGGCAGAAGTGAGTATTAATGTTAAGATATTTGGAGGGAAGGATGCAGAGGCAATGAAGAAAGACAAATGTGATCCGCAAAGCATAGTCTAAGCACCACTAAGCTATGCTTTAATCAAAAGTTAATTTAAGACAAATTTTCTCAAATTTTCCTTTTTGTCACAAGAGTTTTACGGTCAGGAGGAAAAGTTTGTTCAAGGAGATATCCAGCTAAGTACCTTATCAAGACCAATTCTTTTAAAGCTTACAGAATTCAATCAATTAATAATGGACAGCATCAACAATTCACATCAAATTCCATCAACTTTTTCAACCACTCATCCTTCCTTCTTTCTTTCATGCATTGTCCATTTTTCCATTAATTTTTCATTTTGAGAAAATTTTAAGCATCCCCAAACTTTAAAAAAAAAATCCAAAGCATTAAGTTAATTGAAGTTGAAAAGCACACAGAATGAGGAGCTAAAAAAGGAAAGAAATTTAATTTTTGAGCACATAAAAAACTTTTTTTTCCATCTCTATGTGCTCATAAAACTTTCATGCTGAACTGACCCATCTTACATGATAAAAAATACTATAAATTGAAAAGAGCTTAACATGAATGCTTAATTTACACATATTATCAACTTACATACTTTATGTGTGTATTTGCATATCAAAATAAGAAGGATTAATTAATTTTCATGGAAAAAAATTTGTGAAGCATAAATTTCTGTTTGCGTAGATTCAGTTTCAGACATTCCAATGGATTAAGTTTATTATCAGTGTTATTAAAATAATTTTACATTCTAAATGGATATGGAGATTGAGGAAAAAAGGAATTCTTTACATGTCAACTATTTTTAAAAAAATTATATAGAAAATTTATTCATGATAAACTTTGAACTTAGTGATATGTAGAAATGAGATTGGAGATGAAGTAAGGTTGCTGGATGTAGTTAAAGATTGAGTCTGAGCATTTTTGATACATTTTTTTACATATTTTGATTTTTAACATTTTTTTTTTAAAATTTTTATCATTTTTTGAATTTTTAAATTTTTAAATTTTTTTGAATTTTTCAACATTTTAAAAATATTTTTTGAATTTTATCATTTATTTTTTACAAATGTTTGTTTTTTTAAAAGTTTTTAACTTTTGTTTCCTAAACTTAATGTTTTAAAATCGAAAAACAAGCACGAAGTCCAAAATGCATTACAACCCAAATCAACCTCCTCAAACAATTTTTACATCCCGAAAACTTTTTGTCTAATATTTTTATATCACATAAAATAATTTGCATTTGGAATTTCCATAAAAGAATTTCTCTATGTTCATCATATTTATTTTCATACAGAATTTACATCCTGCCTGATACCATCACAACGTATAGGTAAGCTAGTAACTTGTAGGCAATGTAACATATACAGCATGTAGGATACTTTTTTTTTTTAAAAAATAAAACTAGAGTGAGAGATGTTAATGATGTGAAAGAGAAGAGGATTATTGTAAAAAATAGTTTGCTTTTTTTTGTGCTACCATAAGCCTCTTAAAGAGACCTCCTCACTCTACTTTTTAACAAAATGTGTGATGTTGGACAAAACTTTTTTTTTCACATTTACACATTTTTTTTTCGATCCTGGTTATGTTGTTGGATGTTACACATTAAAAATGAGTGGAAGATAAAATGAAAAGTTTTTTTTGAATGTCCTTGTGGAGAGTTTTGAGATAAATTGAATATTTTGTTTTTTAAATTTTAAAATGAAAAAAAAAATTTGATTTTTAAATTATTGAAAGTTTTTAAATTTTAAAACTTTTATTTCAAAAGTTAAATTTATTTTAAAAATGTTTATTTAAAATTATTCCCTTTAATTCTCACATTAATGCCTTATATCAGCATTTTTAATGTATCATTATCCAACCCCCTACAACCTTCCCATCCATCCCCGTCCCTTTTTCCTATCCAACACTCACCATGTAACTTTAAGTTCCTCCTCAGGATAGCTAAATGGTTAAATATCACAATGGCTTTTAATTAAAAAAAAAAAAGAATATTACACAAAAAATAAGTTGTTTTGGGTGGTAAGGGACGGACGAGAAAGAAGATATCCGAGCTATTATGTATTTACATGCTTGATGGTGCCAATGAATATTTAATTATTTCAACCGGTTATCAGACATCCATTTAACATTTTTTCAACATATTTCAGCACACTGCTACTTCCTGAGCCAGCATGTGAGATTCATTAATTTAGCATAAATGTTTCGAGTGATGTTTTTTTGAAAGGATGTGTACTAAGGCAGTTTGGGTGAATTTGAAGAGTGCATGAGAATTTCTTGAATTTAAAGGTGCCTGTGGATTTAAAAATGCCAATTTTATAAAAATTGATTTTAATTTAAAATTTTTCATGAAATTAAATTAAAAATCAAGTTTAAAAACTGCGTTTATGTTTAATCTTCAACTCCAAACAGTTTCTTTCCACCTCAATCTCCAAAAACACTCTTCATCTCTAAATTCTGCAACCAAAAAACATGTGTAGAAATCCACACACAAATTTTTCAACTTTTATTTCATGTGTATCTAAACATTTTGTTATATTTTTATTTCTGCATAGTCTACTATCTCATGAGAATTAACGTTTTTCGACTGCCAATGGATGGGGACATGCTATTTTTACTGTGAGGAAATTTCATATATTCATGGTAAGTTGTTAATTGCACAATAAAAACCCCTGTGTCCGGAAAATTATAGTACACCAGATATATACAAAAACACAAACGTTGGATATACTTTTTTTATGAGATAAAGGAAAGAGAGTTAGAAAAGTTTGAGATAAACAGAAGGCAACAATGTGGACTGGGAAGAAAAATTATGGAATTTTTGGAATTGTAGGAGTAAGTGCAGTTTATGATACTTTTTGAGAACTATCTAGAATATGCTGTCTAGAACCTAGCCAGAGTCATTCCAGTTTGGTGCTTGATTTCTATTCGATTAACTGACGTGTTCTATTCGGGGAGAATTTTGATAAACAAGAAAATCTAGAATAATTTTTTTTCTCAGGTATTGCCAGAGCTCGAAGTCGACTCGACTCCATACAAAATTGCATCGACTTCGAGCTCTAGGTATAGCAAAGAGGTAATAGTTTCTACTTGAAAATCAGAGTTGGGTTTAGGGATAAGTTAACATGGCTTTTGATCAACTGATATTTGTGACTTCTCCAGTATATTTATTCATTTATATGTTTTCATTCCTTGATTTATATTCATCCCTTGCATTTATGAACCTTAAGTTCAATTATTGAACATTAAGTTCAGTTAGTTCTTTTCCTTTGCGACGAAGAGTCGTGAGGTCGACAATTGTAGGTTTTTGCATTTACTTATTCATTAACATTAGTTATATTGTATTTATCACTTTAAAGCGATAAAATCTTACCGCTTTATGCGGAATAGTTTCACAAGTTCACAGAAATAAACGATTGAGAGATTTATTTACGGACTTTTATTTTCATCACGTGAACTATTGATTGGATCTGGTTGATCCCAATATCTCACAGATATTGATTCTTATGATATTGATTAACTCTTTTGGAAGTTTCCATGTTAACACATCAACATAAATTCATTCAAAGCTTCTGTTCAAAACAAAAAAATAATCCAAGTAGATTTTGTGCTGAACTTCTCAACAGTTCGCGAAATCAAGTGGAAAAGTATCTGTAGATCGTAAAAGCATAAGCTCGATTCCTTTTCGAGACAAGCTATTAAAAATAACTTGTTAAATATTTAAAATGAGTTATTTAAGGGTCAAAAGCTCTTGCAGCTAGATTACCAACATTAGTTTTTATGAATATGCAACATGAGCTTTTAAAAAAAATGAAATTTGATGAGTTTTAGTTGAATTTAACGAATCTTTTCCTAGAATCTCATTTGAAAACCTCCTACGAAGAGACATTAAACTCTATAAAATCTTCAATTACTCCTGAATGAAGTTTCACTTCCGATAAAAATTCTAACATATTTCGCTGTTCCAATTTCACATCTCATATCTCATTCAAAGAAAGCATCAAAATATTTTCTTACTTTTCCTCGAAATTCTTTTTGTTATTCCGATGACAAATTAAAATATTTATGTGTGTCGTTCCAGATGTTTTTGTTCTTTTTTTTAGGTGACGATATTACTCCATCATAGACACATACACGTGTTATAATTTTTTACTTTTTTTCTGTGTTGTTCTGTTTGGGGAGAAAATG